TGCGTGCGTGCGTGCGTGCGCGTGCCGTCTGTTTGCCGTCTGTGTGCCGTCTGTCGGTCCGTCCGTCCGTCAGTACGTCCGTCAGTACGTCCGTCTGTGCGTGGGTCTCTCTTTCTGTATACGACACTCGCATGCTCTGAAAAGCCGGGCTGCTGAAGCTTTGCGCGAGNNGCGAGATCCAGTCACCCCCTGCATCGCTACTGAGGTTGGGTCGGATCAAGGAAGCTTGGGCTACTGTCTCGCATGAACGGACGATCCGCGAAACTTGGGTATCTCTGGTTTTATAGAAGGGCCTGATCAGGAAGGGGGTTTCGAGTGTTAGTTCTGCTTCAGACAAAGCGGGTAGTTGAGCAACCCTTCTTGCAGGTTGGAATCCCCGTATGTGAGACTGGCAAAAGATGTCCAAGCCTGGTGCTCACTGCAGTTCAAGAAAAACATCAACAACTCTATCACCAAGTGAAATCTCAATCCCAGGATCTCAACTACTTCCATGTGCTGCGGTTAGGCATGTCGCTTCGGGATGAGTCGCTTCTCGGATGGGTGGGTTTAACCATCCAAAGGAAATGAAAACACACGACTCTAGATTGCTGACCCCGTCCCTGACTTCCCAAATTTCCGTAGACAGTCGTAACACCCCTAAAGGCCCGAATTACGCGGCCACAGACTGTCGCCGTAGCCCTCTGAGCAGCTTGGCCAGAGCTCCCGCCGACTTCNNTATATTATATTCTATTATATTATACTATATATAGCCTAGAGGGCCTTGGGGAACTTTACTGCCATTGGTTTGGGCAGCAGCATCCGGAGAATGGGCGCTTCTTTCTGGAGAGGGCTTCTTGGGGCCGACATGAGCAGCCTAGACGCGAAGCCGGGGTGTTCTAGCGACTTCTTCATGATACCTATCACAACTTGCATCATGCTTTTTCCAATATTGCTTTGAGGGATGTGATCCCAATTTCACAGAAGACTGTCTTCACAATAACTTCCTGTTTGGCTGATTTTGAAGATTGTTGATGGATTACCACGAGTCGCACCATAAACTGTCGATCCTGAGCTCCCAGGCCGTAACGTCCGGTCTTTGCCGCACCTGCTCGGGCTTGGACTCCCATAGACCGGATGCTGAACCATTTTGTCTGAAGGTCTCTGCTGTACTGCATGTAGATTCAACCCTGGGATGAAAAGTAAGCAGCTTACATTCTGGCCGCTTGTGGCTAGCCAACTTGCACGTGGTTTCGCTGTGTCAAGACATGTTGTATGGCTTCATCGGCATCTGCGGACATGGGGTCGCGGTCGATTTGCCCCAGCAACGGGGCAGTTCTCTGAATTCTTGCGCAGAGAACGAGGGTAAATCAGCCCGCTGCCCTGGCTGCCCTGTAAGAAAACCTCCAGCTTAAGCTGGTTTCTTGATGCTTAAAAGGATGTTCTACGGTCCTACATGCTAGGCTCAGGAGCCTGGTCTTCACCATCCCTCAAACGAACACTGTAACTTTCAGGACCTCTGTGGTCTCGAAGCTTGGTGGTGGCCGCACCTCGCAGCCGCGACACTCGTAGTGTTGCTCGGACTCCCTCCCTCCCTCCCCCTCCCTCCCTCTCCCTCCTCTTTCGGCTTTCGAAAGGGCACCAGCACTGTACAAGCAACACCTTGGACCTTGGTCCCAGACCCGCGGAGCGCTTTGGCATCGTCTGAGAGGCCTGCGCCGGCGCCGTCGCTACTTCATGGAAGCAGGGGTCACAAACACAGTGTGACTCAATCATTAGTGGCTGCGTCCTTTCTGGAAGCAGATCAGGAGGGAAGTCCCCAAAGCACCTGGACACAGTTTCACGAACTTGTCGTCTGTGCCGGGAAATTGGCGCATCGCATCTGAAAAAGTTGCTGGGGCATCCACGAGTGTGAGCCACGCGGAAGCAGTCCCTTCTCTTTGTCTCGGCGCAGACCTCTTGAACCTCAAAACATGCGGTGCCCGGCGATATTCGGATGCCCCTTTCTATTACGATTCAATCAATGCTATTCCAACTTTCCATGTTCGGTCTGGCGCCAGTGAACTACGACCATGACAGGTTGAACTGGCAGCAGGCGATTGCTTCGTCACGATGGAAAGAGCTCTCACAGCATCCAAGGGGTCATCATTTCCGTCAGTACCAAGTTTCGAATGACGACGGCCAGAAAGAAAAAACACACACACACACACCCTGTCAGAGATGCTGCTGGATGCAGGACAACTTGCTTCCAAGCAGCCGTCCTTATAGATCATCTTGTTGAGGGTGTCCTGCATATCAAGCACTCGCTGAATTCTTCACGAAGCTACCCATCAGTTGCGGTTCCAACAGCTTCTCAAATGTCAGATCCAAAATGCGGGGGTGACTTCTTTCCGACCCGCCGTCGAGAAAATCCTGCCTTTGCAAGGTCATGCTAGGGTCGTCCTCCATCAGCAGGATACCGGCGGGTGACAGTGTCCCAGGCATGATGGCAGTCTTTGCCAGCCTTGGGCCTTGGACTGGCTGTGGATTTCCGTGTCCGTGTTAGTCCCGGAGGCCCCGACCTCACCATGCTTGCAGGAGATGCTGGAGCGAGCGATATGGGTAATCAGTGATCCAATCGAAGCTCCAACCGAAGACAATCATCCCTCAATGAAACCGGCGTGGGCCCATCGCCATGCTAGCTCCAATGCCAGGGCCCACCCCAAAAAACATGCTGGCCCATCACCAACCGTCAAGCAACTTCCGCCAACAGTAAGATTCTTGCAGAACTCTCAAGGCTTTGAGCTTGCGACCGGGGAGGCGTCAGTGATTCGGCAGCTTCGTCGAAGGGCGTGTGACGAACAGTCTTCTCGATGTCCTACCTTGATTGGAATCCAATACCTGCCCATAGTGAAACCTGCGTGCAACCGCAAGCCGTAAGCCTGTCCGTGCTACATCGAGTGAGCTCATTCGAACTGACATGAAGCAAAAGGGCTGACGCTGGGCGACGGGTGAGCACAGCTTGCTTGCACAAGAATTTCAACGGCCGGATGAACTACCGCAGTCTGTGAACATATATACATAATTCAATACATCTATGGCCTCACCTTATGTCTACAATGCAGCACGCATTTCCGTGAGACAGCTTTAATTAACATCTGATAGAATTTCACAGATCGGCCACGCACGCGATGACCGCACAGACTTTTTGCCACACTGCCGATGTCGGGCGGACCGCGGCAGCGGCAGGAACCCCCTGACCCCTACAGCGCAGGAGCCTTAGCCATCCTCCCGTCACCTTCCACTGGTGTTCTCGCATTGGCATCCCTGCTAGGGCTCGCTGTGCAAAGTGGACAACACTGCAGCCTGGATGAAGGCTCAGCGTGTCTCAAACCCAGATTGAAAACTTCCTAAACCCTGTGCAATGAAGAGTCGGTATTGCCTGCAGTGGTTACAAGTCCAAAGCCTCGCTTCTCATCATCGGCAACCATAGTGCTTCGATTCCAAAGTTCTGGGCACTTGTTTTAAATCCTGTGCATCCATCCTCGAAGCTATACTTTTCTCAATCGCAATGAACCGGAAACGTAAAGACTTACGCTTGCAGCACTCAGCATGCCCGTCATGGCGTTGTGGGGGGCCTGTGCGGCTCAGGCCGACAATCAGAGGCTGCAAAGACTGTGCAACAAGAAGTTCACTGCCTGCGCTTCAGCGAAGCATGCAGAGTACCCTAACAAGCAACTCTGCACGGCGAGGCGGTTTGTCAAGAAAGGGTCATGTCAAAATGTGCCATTCTATGCGGGGCTAGGCACTACCAATCCGAGAGAGATAGGCCCTGATCTCCTCTCCCCATGCCTTCGAACCCATAAGGATTGTCCGGCGTGTCGCAACTCCCTCCTTCTCAGCTCAGTGAAGAACACCTCGATCCCTTGCACCCCAAAAAACCATGTCCAAAAGGCGGAGCCAGGAGCAAATCAACTTATGGTGAGGCCTGACGAGGTGTGTCTTTCAGGCACTTATTCTCCAGGCCCCTATTAGTCCTAGCTCGGACCCCTCGAGCAGGCTTTTTGCTGACTTAGAGCGGCTCGAGATTTTCAGGGTCGGAAGCGCTGCTTGCAACATCATGAACACAAGTCGTTGACTCGCGAAGCCCCGAGCAGAGTTTGAATACTATTGAAATTGGGTTGTTGGAATGTCGCCCACAGTGTCACAGTAGGGGCCCAAGCAGGCTTGCACAAATCCACCGACACTTACGGAAGCGCTACTAGAAAGACTACGGCTACCTTGATCGGCACGCTGGATTTGCCCGGCATACCTTGTACGGCATTGGCAGGCCATCACGGAGCTGACCCGCGTGTCGGGAAAGATTGCAGCTACGAAAACTTCGAGGTCATACAGCCCTCGACAGACCTGCCCGGAATCCGGTGCGTATCCACGAACTTATGAAGAATCAAAGATGCTGAACAAGGGGAGTACGGAACACCCGACGCACAATCGGTCCTGGCCATGGGCTGCTGAGATTCCCATGTATGCCAGCAAACACCATATCCCAGCAGGATGTCTTTAAAAGCAGTTGGGCATGCAAAAAGACTCGCACATGTGAGTCGGTCTGAGCCAACCGAGGACTCCCGAAACCAACATCGAAGAATGGTACTAGTAGACGGCCTCGGGACCGCACAACCTATAGTCTTACGGACACGACTTCACGCAAATGATTGCAACAAGAATAATTTTGGCAAGTGCTGCTTTTCCTACTGGCTGGGATGAGATCCGTGGCTGTATGACACTGTAAAGACTGCAACAATCCGCGGCCAAGCTGCGCAAACGTCTCAAAACTTACGCAATCGCACCCCAGCTCGAGACTCAAGCAAGTTCGATCTCTTGGTCGCGTTCAAGACGTTGAATCACAAGGAAAGCTTTGAACTAGCAGGGCCTTGCTGCCCAGGTGTGCGAGGCATCTGGGCTGCTGGCTGCAATCCGGGTGCACGAGGTTGGTCTGTGGATTTCGAGCTCGCTGCTTCAACATGGCCCTGCTCTTCCAGCAGGTCGTCAATGTTGGGAACCACGGCTCGCAGCAAGCAACGCATGTAAGGACTCCTCTCTGCCAGCTTCTTGTATGCCTCAAGCTTCTGCTCCTCCGACATGTCGGAATGCATGACCTGGTTGACGCTCCGCTTGTACCCTGATCGGACTCCTTTGGAGGGCCGATGGGTCTTGGCACTGGATGCATCGTGATCCCGAAAGTGGCAGAAGTTGCACTCATATCCATTTCGACAGCCATCCGGATGGTCAATGAAGCGACAAGGTTGGCCTTCGTTGCGGAACACTGCATTGCACAGATTCTCCTGTAATTATGTAGTTCGACCCTCTGTAGAGCATTCAACCAGTACTTGCTCTTACGTCCGTTCAGACTGTTCAGAGTCTCTGCAGGAGTAGTTCAGGCCGGCACGATATAAGAAACCATTGCACTAACACACATCTAGCGGGAGCAAGCCCACTACCCAAACATGCCAAGTGGCATTTACCCTCGAAGTGTAGCCGCGAGCCAGCAGAAGGAAAGTCCATCATGCCAGCCACCTGCTTGAAGATTCAAGTTTGGATACTTGGGTGTTAGCCATACTCTGCTATAGTTGACTGTACATACTCTTACCTCGTCCGCTCCACCCTCACCTACCACCCCTGAAGAGTTATGGCTTGTGTGCGTGCTTCAGTGGATGTGGTGTGACTGGTACCGTTGTGTGAAGGCTCTTGTACGTGCGCGTGAGGGTGCGGGTGAGAGGGTGAGAGGGCGCGAGAGTGAGAGAGTGTGAGAGTGGAGAGAGTGAGTGGAGTGAGTGAGTGGAGT